CATATTTTCTTCTAATGCCTGAAGAACTTTACGAAAGAGAACCCAACTGATTGGAGTTTTTATTATTAGCTTATTCCTTGTAATATCAATGATGGCACTTCTCACTACCTCAATATTGGGATCTTCTGATTCACCCTTACCAGATGATGTATTATCAATGATGAGGGTATCAGATATTAACTTGACATATTCCTTATCTTTATAGTGAGATATTAATTCACTTCTGACTTGCTCCTTCTTTTCATCTGTTAGCAAGTCTCCATGAGTGCCAATGCAAAACATGCGAGGATAATCAGGAATACTTCCATCTGCCCCATACTTCATTAGGTGACTGTGAACACAGGCCATCCAATTGAGCATGCATGTAAGTGTAGACATGTTGACCTCTTCTCCATCATATTGAACACCATCAATATGATGGACTGACTGCCATTTGCTGTTAAGATCTTTAAAGGCATCAAAGTGAAGGAGGAATATGGTACGAGAGGTGAGAAAAACTGGTAGGATCTCAAGGAAAGCAGGTTGACCCCCACAATCCCAAAAATGCATTAATAGATGAGGCTCCAACTGATCCCCTGTAGAATACTCTTTAATAACTTGAAACTTGCTAACTTGACGAAGGACATAATTAAGCTTTGTTGTTGCAGTTAATGAAGTAGTGACATGATCAGTAGGATCAATGACATCTTTAATGTGATCAAAGAGAACTGAGAGATACTTTTTATCTTTACTGACAGCAGAAAACAAGTGAGCCATTGCTTCAATTTCAGCTTCATGAGTAACTGCTTCCCACTGCTCACTAAGCAATCCCTTAGCAAAGGGACGAATACAGCTGACATCAGATATGATGGTACTGTTAAACGCCTTAGAATCCCATGGTAACTTCATAAGAGAATTCTTGAAGCTACTCTTCCCAACACCTGCTGTACCCAGAAAAAGAACACGTGAATAAGCAACATTCACCACTTCTCCTTTTGATAGAGCTCTTCTGTATGCAGTAACTTGAATACAAAAGAAATAATGAAAGGCTTATTATAAATAGATTCACCTCTCTATAAAATACATGTAAATTATGATAAATTTTTTTGATCACAAATGAACAAAAAAATTAAAAATAGAAAGGACAATAGATACATCCGAAATTAGCACTTACTTCCTATTGTGTTGTAAATAAGAGTTTGTGTATCACAAATAAATGAATGAAAAAAGGACAATAAATACACATGTAAACAATGATCTTAAATTAAAATAGATTAGTACTTACCGTCTTTTGTGTTGTAAATAAGAGTTTGTATATCACATATGAATAAATGAAATTAAAGATAGAAAGGACAATAGATACACATGTAAACAATCATCTAAAATTAAAATAGATTAGTACTTACCCTCTTTTGTGTTGTAAATAAGAGTTTGTATATCACATATGAATAAATGAAATTAAAGATAGAAAGGACAATAGATACACATGTAAACAATCATCTGAAATTAAAATAGATTAGTACTTACTGGCTATTGTGTTGTAAATAAGAGTTTGTGTATCACAGATGAATGAATGAAATTAAAGATAGAAAGGACAATAGATACACATGTAAACAATCATCTAAAGTTAAAATAGATTAGTACTTACTCTCTATTGTGTTGTAAATAAGAGTTTGTGTATCACAGATGAATGAATGAAATTAAAGATAGAAAGGACAATAGATACACATGTAAACAGTCGTCCAAAATTAAAATAGATTAGTACATACTTCCTATTGTGTTGTAAATAAGAGTTTGTATATCACAGATGAATGAATGAAATTAAAGATAGAAAGGACAATAGATACACATGTAAACAATCTTAAAAAAATTTAAATAAATTAGTACTTACCAACTTTTGTGTTGTAAATAAGAGTTTGTATATCACAGATGAATGAATGAAATTAAAGATAGAAAGGACAATAAATACATATGTAAACAATCGCCCAAAATTAAAATAGATTAGTACTTACTTCCTATTGTGTTGTAAATAAGAGTTTGTGTATCACAGATAAATGAATGAAATTAAAGATAGAAAGGACAATAGGTACACATGTAAACAATCATCTGAAATTAAAATAGATTAGTACTTACCAACTTTTGTGTTGTAAATAAGAGTTTGTGTATCACAGATGAATGAATGAAATTAAAGATAGAAAGGACAATAAATACACATGTAAACAATCATCTAAAATTAAAATAGATTAGTACTTACCGTCTTTTGTGTTGTAAATAAGAGTTTGTGTATCACAGATGAATGAATGAAATTAAAGATAGAAAGGACAATAAATACACATGTAAACAGTCATCTAAAATTAAAATAGATTAGTACTTACCAACTTTTGTGTTGTAAATAAGAGTTTGTGTATTACAGATGAATGAATGAAATTAAAGATAGAAAGGACAATAGATACACATGCAAACAATCATCCGAAATTAAAATAAATTAGTACTTACTCTCTATTGTGTTGTAAATAAGAGTTTGTGTATCACAGATGAATGAATGAAATTAAAAATAGAAAGGACAATAAATACATATGTAAACAATGATATGAAATTAAAATAGATTAGTACTTACTCCCTATTATGTTGTATATAAGAGTTTGTGTATCACAGATGAATGAATGAAATTAAAAATAGAAAGGACAATAGATACATACGTAAACAATCATCTAAAGTTAAAATAGATTAGTACTTACCGCCTTTTTGTGTTGTCAATAAGAGTTTGTGTATCACAGATGAATGAATTAAAGATAAAAAGGACAATAAATACACATGTAAACAATCATCTAAAATTAAAATAGATTAGTACTTACTTCCTATTGTGTTGTAAATAAGAGTTTGTGTATCACAGATGAATGAATTAAAGATAGAAAGGACAATAGATACACATGTAAACAATCATCTGAAATTAAAATAAATTAGTACTTACTCTCTATTATGTTGTAAATAAGAGTTTGTGTATCACAGATGAATAAATAAAATTAAAGATAGAAAGGACAATAAATACACATGTAAACAATCATCTAAAATTAAAATAGATTAGTACTTACCGCCTTTTGTGTTGTAAATAAGAGTTTGTGTATCACATATGAATGAATGAAATTAAAGACAGAAAGGACAATAAATACCCATGTAAAAAATCATCTAAAATTAAAATAGATTAGTACTTACCAACTTTTGTGTTGTAAATAAGAGTTTGTGTATCACAGATGAATAAATGAAATTAAAGATAGAAAGGACAATAGATACACATGTAAACAATCATCCGAAATTAAAATAGATTAGTACTTACTTCCTATTGTGTTGTATATAAGAGTTTGTGTATCACAGATCAATGAATGAAATTAAAGATAGAAAGGACAATAAATACACATGTAAACAATGATCTGAAATTAAAATAGATTAGTACTTACTCCCTATTATGTTGTATATAAGAGTTTGTGTATCACAGATCAATGAATGAAATTAAAGATAGAAAGGACAATAGATACATATGTAAACAATCATCTAAAGTTAAAATAGATTAGTACTTACCGCCTTCTGTGTTGTAAATAAGAGTTTGTGTATCACAGATGAATGAATGAAATTAAAGATAGAAAGGACAATAGATACACATGTAAACAATGATCTGAAATTAAAAAAGATTAGTACTTACTCCCTATTATGTTGTATATAAGAGTTTGTGTATCACAAATGAATGAATGAAATTAAAGATAGAAAGGACAATAGATACACATGTAAACAATCATCTGAAATTAAAAAAGATTAGTACTTACTCCCTATTATGTTGTATATAAGAGTTTGTGTATCACAAATGAATGAATGAAATTAAAAATATAGAAAGGACAATAGATACATACGTAAACAATCATCTAAAGTTAAAATAGATTAGTACTTACCGCCTTCTGTGTTGTAAATAAGAGTTTGTGTATCACAGATGAATGAATGAAATTAAAGATAGAAAGGGCAATAGATACACATGTAAACAATCATCTAAAGTTAAAATAGATTAGTACTTACTCCCTATTATGTTGTAAATAAGAGTTTGTGTATCACAGATGAATGAATGAAATTAAAGATAGAAAGGACAATAGATACATACGTAAACAATGATCTGAAATTAAAATAGATTAGTACTTACTCCCTATTATAATTTATTGTAAATAAGAGTTTGTGTATCACAGATGAATGAATGAAATTAAAGATAGAAAGGACAATAGATACACATGTAAACAATCATCTGAAATTAAAATAGATTAGTACTTACCAACTTTTGTGTTGTAAATAAGAGTTTGTGTATCACAGATGAATGAATGAAATTAAAGATAGAAAGGACAATAGATACACATGTAAACAATCATCCGAAATTTAAATAGATTAGTACTTACCATCTTTTGTGTTGTAAATAAGAGTTTGTGTATCACATATGAATGAATGAAATTAAAGATAGAAAGGACAATAGGTACACATGTAAACAATCATCTAAAGTTAAAATAGATTAGTACTTACTCCCTATTATGTTGTAAATAAGAGTTTGTGCATCACAGATGAATGAATGAAATTAAAGATAGAAAGGACAATAGATACACATGTAAAAAATCATCTGAAATTAAAATAAATTAGTACTTACATCCTATTGTGTTGTAAATAAGAGTTTGTGCATCACAGATGAATGAATGAAATTAAAGATAGAAAGGACAATAAATACATATGTAAACAATGATCTGAAATTAAAACAAATTAGTACTTACATCCTATTGTGTTGTAAATAAGAGTTTGTGCATCACAGATGAATGAATGAAATTAAAGATAGAAAGGACAATAGATACACATGTAAAAAATCATCTGAAATTAAAATAAATTAGTACTTACATCCTATTGTGTTGTAAATAAGAGTTTGTGCATCACAGATGAATGAATGAAATTAAAGATAGAAAGGACAATAAATACATATGTAAACAATGATCTGAAATTAAAACAAATTAGTACTTACATCCTATTGTGTTGTAAATAAGAGTTAGTGCATCACAGATGAATGAATGAAATTAAAGATAGAAAGGACAATAGATACACATGTAAAAAATCATCTGAAATTAAAATAAATTAGTACTTACATCCTATTGTGTTGTAAATAAGAGTTTGTGCATCACAGATGAATGAATGAAATTAAAGATAGAAAGGACAATAAATACATATGTAAACAATGATCTGAAATTAAAATAAATTAGTACTTACATCCTATTGTGTTGTAAATAAGAGTTTGTGTATCACAGATGAATGAATGAAATTAAAAATAGAAAGGACAATAGATACACATGTAAAAAATCATCTGAAATTAAAATAGATTAGTACTTACCAACTTTTGTGTTGTAAATAAGAGTTTGTGTATCACAGATGAATGAATGAAATTAAAAATAGAAAGGAAAATAGATACACATGTAAACAATCATCTGAAATTAAAATAGATTAGTACTTACTCTCTATTGTGTTGTAAATAAGAGTTTGTGTATGACAGATGAATGAATGAAATTAAAAATAGAAAGGAAAATAGATACACATGTAAACAATCATCTGAAATTAAAATAGATTAGTACTTACTTTCTATTGTGTTGCAAATAAGAGTTTGTGTATCACAGATGAATGAATGAAATTAAAAATAGAAAGGAAAATAGATACACATGTAAACAATCATCTGAAATTAAAATAGATTAGTACTTACTCTCTATTGTGTTGTAAATAAGAGTTTGTGTATGACAGATGAATGAATGAAATTAAAAATAGAAAGGAAAATAGATACACATGTAAACAATCATCTGAAATTAAAATAGATTAGTACTTACTTTCTATTGTGTTGCAAATAAGAGTTTGTGTATCACAGATGAATGAATGAAATTAAAAATAGAAAGGAAAATAGATACACATGTAAACAATTATCTGAAATTAAAATAGATTAGTACTTACTTTCTATTGTGTTGCAAATAAGAGTTTGTATATCACAGATGAATGAATGAAATTAAAAATAGAAAGGAAAATAGATACACATGTAAATAATCATCTGAAATTAAAATAGATTAGTACTTACTGTCTATTGTGTTGTAAATAAGAGTTCATGTATGACAGATGAATGAATGAAATTAAAGATAGAAAGGACAATAGATAAACATGTAAACAATCGTCAAAAATTAAAATAGATTAGTACTTACTTCCTATTGTGTTGTAAATAAGAGTTTGTGTATCACAGATAAATGAATGAAATTAAAGATAGAAAGGACAATATATAGATACACATGTAAATAATATGTGAAATTAGATCCGTTTCAATTCGTCGAGAAAGCAAATTAATCATAATATTAATATCAGGGGCAGATCTAGGATTTTGGAAATAGGGGGTTGTGAAATAAAATGGCGCACAAAGTGTGCCACGATTATGATCACACCCCTTTTTGGCACTATTTTGTGGTTAAAATCACGTAAAATCAGTATTTCCACAGTCTTTCTTTGTTAATGGTTAACACTTTTTTTTACCACTGTTGCAACAATGAAAACATTAAAAAAATTTTGAGTTAGAATGTTTTGGAGGGGGGGTTGCAACCCCACCCCCCCCCTAGATCCGCCTCTGAATATATTTAATGTTTTAGTAGGCTCCAGCAAGAATGCCCCCACCTTTCCCGACCCACAAAAAGACTTGTCCCAGTAAATGCATGCCCCCCATATTGGCCCCAGGAGGGGACACTTTTGATAAGAGTATGAACCACAATTTCCTAATAACATGTTAGATCTATGTAGTACATTGACAATTTAATCTTATACTTACTTCATCCTAAAAAACAAATAAGATAATAATGCTGATGAAAGATGATGATGATGATAATCTACCATAATTTGAATCTTCTGTCGAGTCTTCTTTCCAGCTTTTTGTTCAGCCATTTTGCCACGCCTAGATTTAGCCTAGGCCTATTAATTAATAATTTTCTTATTTCAAAATGGCGAAAATGCTAAGGGAGAAATTGATCACCTATTACGAGTTAATCCTACAAGTATAACTGCTAATAAAGCTATTGATTATTACTTTTATTTAGGGCAAAGACCCCTCATCAAGGAGAAGCGACTTCTGGGATGAATTTTTTCTATTAAAAGTAATAAAAAATAGTTCTTAATTTCGTCTCATTCCAGCCCTTTGTCACAGGCTAATGTAGAATTTTTAGAAGGAGCTATTATGGCAATGTCTTTATCTAACCTCATGCAAATCAAAGTATACGCACACTAACTATCAATAACTTACTGTTAATAACTAGGCTAACATTAATAACTTGTTTATCCAGTGCTGTCGAATGCTTCAAACTGATGACAACATGATTAGAAATATCAATGCTTTGCAGGTTAAATAATTATTATCTGAAATAAATGCAATTGCTTCTCTCTCTCTCTCTTTTCAGACATTATGTGTATTAGTTCAGTCAATTTATCGTAAACATTCATCTTCTGATTCCAGCATTGAAGTGGTTGACATCCTGACTGGGGTCGATGCTGCAGACTGTCAAATGAGAGTATGTTCTATTTTTAGTAATGGAAAGCATTCTCTAACATTCTATTTTTAGAATCTCATAGAGTGCTTATGCAAATTTTTATCAGAGGAATATCCTGGTACTACATTATGCACTAATACATATACCATGCTCTCTGTCTCTCTTCCAGTTAGTGTAAAGAACTTGTGCCTCAAGTTCATACTCATCATCCTAACCTCGATTGATAACATCAGTCAGAATGTCATGCTGGAATATTTCATGCTCAACAGCATATTTGAAGCTCTCGTATCGACATTCTTTCATCCTGATGCTCAGGAGCACCACGGCTATGATGCAGCTGTTGCCCTAGCCCTGTTAGTCAATTACAGGAAGCATGAGGTATTCATGTAGTATAATGTATGTACATGATTTATGTACTGTAATGTGCATGGTCATAAATTAAAGAATATGGTATTAGTATTGTCCATAGCACATTAAAGCATATGGGATGCATACACATGTATATATTAGTATTTTCCAAATAAAGTTGATTGATGTTAATTTTATGCTACATATATTACATTGATTCATCATAGGCTGCTAATCTCTATGTAATCAAGCTCTCTGTCTTGGATAATGAGATCATTCTTAACGTTAGTAATGATGACTGATATTTTAGAATAGGAAAGTATAAATAACAACTTGTTTTTATTGTATTTGTCATTGCAGGGTTTGGGTCATATTATATCAGCAATTTTAACTGAATATATAAAGTAAGATATTGAATTCTTGTCTGATTCAAGTGGAGACTCTGTGAATTGTACACATGTTAGGCAATATTCATCTTCTCACGAAGAGCCAAAGTCATTGATAGGTGCTCTTACCAGCTGGGTAAGAATTTAAATAAACTGCGTATTATAACTATTTTCATTTTCACCTCTCTCCTCTTTTAGGTAGGAAGTGCTTTGATGCCAGCTGAAGCGCCACCTGCTAAAGTCAGGTAAGTATCATTAACATTACATTAATAATGAGGATATTTTTAACGACCTGGGGGCGTAGCCCCCAGGTCGTTCCTATAATTGATTTCACCCACGTGCGATGTTTGTATATATTTTGTATGTCCACACTTACATTTCTTCTATACATGTTGTATTGGAGAAATAACAAGCCTTAGCAACCACCCACCCACGCTCCTTTACGTGAGTGGGTGTGGTCACGGCAAACAAAATGGCGGCTTAAACACAGGACAAAGTTAAGAGCTTTCTAACAGCAAGACAACATAGAGATACTGTCTAAAGACTTCTCTAGAAGCATTAGAAGGTAGAGAGAGCCTCTATAAGTCTTAATGAAATCCCGTTATTCTTGCAAGGTGGTGAAATCAATTATAGGAATATTTTTTACACTGTTACGCTTGTTTATAATATGGCTATAGGATAAGTGAGGCCTTACTGCTAGTGCTATATGAAGCAGTCTATCTTAATAAACACTTTCACTCTGTCCTAACACACGTAATATTTATCTTCCCTTTCGCTTTATTCAATTGTCCCTTTAGACTCGATCTGTTTCAACTCCAAGCACACCTACCTCTCCTTCACCAGCTGTTCATAAAAACCTTCCAGGTCAGCCAGCAGCAGCAATTATTGTATAGAAATTGCCATTGGCGATATAGTTCACTCTAGCAAGTGCCTAATTCGCTTAACTTGTATTTGTGTGCTCAAGGGAGCTCCACCAAGTGCTATAGGAGACAGTTCATTACTATAGTTTACTATTAAATGGGCGTATTTTCCTAACATTAGCAGCTGCTCTGTATCATGTGTAATCATATTGTTTTCTTTTAGTCCCCAGCTCTCCAACTTCCACTGATGTTGCTTCTATTGTACCAATGGCAGCACAGCCTATGAACCTGTTGGGTACTTTTATTACCTTCACATCAATTATCATACAAAACATTAAAGGTGAGAGCTAAGAGTTATATTTATTTATGATATAATAACTTTTTATTTTTTAGACGATAAAGGGAAGCATAATGCTAGACTTTGTCTTATCATTTTGAATTGTATTGTTGAAGTAAGAGAAACCTGTATTGATTATTGAGAATCCATGAGTTGTCTTATTTCTCTTAGAACTCTCAGTCCACTGCCTTTCTATTTGATCCAAATATGACATTTCACATTGAAATACACAGAGCAGTAAGCCATTGGACTTATATTCTAGCTCCACATAATACCCTCATTGCTTCTTCTCCCTTAATTAAGAATTTGCTGCACAGGAAACTGAAGAGAGAGAACTCCTTGCAGTCTCTATCAATGGCTGGCTCACTGCTAGGTAAGGATTAGTTACATGTATTAACATTATTATTATTATTATTATTTTATCTTTTAAAGAATTGATAGTTGAGTTTATAGTTAGTCACCTTTCTCAGAATTTCCACAGTGACCTTTATTGGTGAGTTCACTATGCACTCTACAATAGTATAATAAATCACCATTGTCTTTGGCCAAAATTTTGGAGTAACTTTAAAAATTCATTAAAAAATCAAACTTAATCGGAATGAACTCAAATTTGAAACATAACATAAAACAATGTATATGTATCAGAAAAAATTATAAAAACTAAGAATTTTCTTGTTTTCATTTTTGGCAAAATTTGACCAAAATCCCTGTACTATATATAGTACAGGGACTTTGGCCCAATTTTGGAGTAACTTTAAAAATTCATTAAAAAACCAAACTTAATTGGAATGAGCTCAAATTTGAAACATAGCATAAAAACATGTATATGTATCAGACAAAATTATAAAAATGGAGAATTTTCTCTTTTCATTTTTGACGAAATTTTACCAAAGTCCCTGTACTATACTATATACAGGGATTATGGCCCGATTTTTGAGCATTTTAAAAAATTTGATTATTCTCCTAACAATTTTGAATAAAAACCCCATGCATTGCCCATGTTTACTGTACATGATTAATAATCACTTCCTAATGTAATTTAATTTTTAGTAAATGCCTGGGGATTGTACACAGGCTCCTCTGTTATCAAAAAAGGCACAAAGTCCGTCTGAGTTACAGCTGGAAGGAGTTGTGGAATGGTAAGGACAGCTGTCATGATTACTACCATATGTCATAGCACGCAGTTCGCTATACACGTACTAGTATTCCTACATGGCATATCATATTCTCTCTATTTCTCTATTCCTCTTGGAATGCTTTAGTTTTGATTGTAGCAGAAGAACAGTTTATTATATAATAAGCTTATAAAAAATGTATAATTTAACATGATACAGGCATCCATGTACACATAGCCCACATATTTACATGTATCGCTACATGCATAGAGTCATAGATACGCTAGTGTTTGGTTACAGTCCGTCATTGATCTAATAATGATATCACCTCTCTCTCTCTCTCTCCCTCTCTCTCTCTCTCTCTCTCTCCCTCTCTCTCTCTCTCTCTCCCTCTCTCTCTCTCTCTCTCCCTCTCTCTTTCTCTCTTCTCTTCAGCTCTCATTAGTCTTGTCCGTTTCTTTGTCTCAAATGGAGAGAAATTGCTACCATCAATCAACATATTCATCCCAGCAAATGAAGTACACCACATTGTACATGTACTTATACAATTGTAGGAATAAAAGGAATAGTGATTCCTTATGTGTATAGACTATAAAGGAGAATGATATTTCCCTCTTTAAATTAAAATTTGAACTCTGACCCAATAACCCTCTCTACAGCCTGTGATCAGAGAATTAGTTGTATGTTCTCACAGTTCCTTTGCATGTATCCTTTCCTTTGATATATGACTACCGAAGCTCTGATGGGACAGCCTTAATTACCGCAGCATAACATAGCTGCATGACAATTATAGTAATAAGTGTAATGCAATACTAAGCATTATATGTGTGTGTCTGTAGTAAATGAAGCATTGATGTACATGTATATATGTGCTGCATGTATTGTGATGGAAAATATTACAGTCGGCAATGGAGTAGGAATGACAATTATAGTGGACCGTAATGATGTGAAAATACCGTATAGCGGGTAATTTTGGAGGGGATTAAATTTGGCGAATTTGGCGTTTTGATGGTCATTCGCCAAAATAAAAATCCACCATTTTGAGCGATTATACGCATGCTCAATGGCACGTGGCCACAAATTCGCCAAATTTAAAAACCGCCAATCACCAAAATTTAGCAATTCGCCAAATTTTAGTCCCTCCAAAATTACCTGCTATATGGTAGTTGGTAAAAGTCAATGAGTATACACATGACATGTAGTGAGTATAATGATGTTTATGTTTATTAATGGATGCACATTTGTAATGAAATTTTAGTGTTTTTAGGCTTAAGTTTAAGGATACATGTACAGGAGCAGGTGAGAGAGAAATAGCTCATAGTAACAGCTAATTGGATTAGTGTCTCTCTCGTAAAGGCTATGCACTAATGAGACCTAATATCTTGTTTTGATTCAGTAAATAAGTACAGTTATTCATTAAATGCATGAATAATGAATAGAGTAGTAGTATATAGTGTGTGTGTGTGTATTTACATTATTGTTTAATTTGAGGCACATTGGCACACAGGATGGCATTAAATTAGCTTCCTAATTAGTGGAGTTACACACAGCTGCTCTCCCATGGCCTCCACTCAGTGATAATCACTTGTTATTGGTATGATATATACCATCAATGAAGGATCACACTGTCACTAGTGTCTGATATGTAGTGTACAAATACTGGATACATGTAGCATGACTTAATATGTCACACAATGGGCCATATATGAACATGTATGCACACACTTACATTGATCAAAGCTCACACACATGCTATATACATGATAGGACATACAATGAGGTCATAGTGTATGCCCTTTCTCTCTGAAGGTGATCTTGTGCCTACAAACGAGGTACATGTACATACACACATATGTATATCTTGTGATCTTTATGGGTGGTCTCTCTCACACACAATCACTCTGTGTGCTTCATTATTGACAATCATTTTCATAACTACAGGCTGCGGTATGGTAACCAAATGACTCGTATTCCTGTGTCTTAACATTCAGGCATATTATATCTGCCATTTTTAGCATTTTTGTACATGCACATGTATGTGTTCATTTATTCCTACTAAATTATTTCATTGTTTGTTATAAATAGCTGCAGTATGAGACAGTTTGTCAATACTGTTTGTGTTTAGACTTTATTTACTTAAACTCATTGTTGCTAATAATCTATTCTACAGGTCATTAAACTCTTTAATCTGTTTATTACGTATGGGGACACATTCCTTCCTGATCCCACGGTCTACGATGAGCTCTATTATGAACTAATTCGTGTAAAGACATCCTTTGATGGGCTCTATCAATTAGGTATCAATCAATCAAACCTCTATCAATTAATTATCTATCAACTGGAAGCACATTTTTTTATTATTTTCTCTTTAAATTGATGTATTTATCTCCCTCTTATTTTTAACTTTTAATTCCTCCTTTCTTTTTTATTTTTTTCCTTTCTTTCTCCTCTTCCAGCTCTCAGGTATTCTTCTCCTGGTAAAGATCAAGCCTCTGTTGCTAATTCCCTCACTTCTGCACTATACAATATCAGATCAATAGCGAATCATTTTGCACCGAAAATTGATCAATGTTGTGCGACCAATCAAACGACAGCACTGTCTACCGAGCAGGTACAGCTGTGTAGCATAAACATATACTATGCTCAATAGTCTGTGTATAATGACTCAATTGCTAATGAATGATGGCATTATGATTTGTTATGTTACTGGTTGCAGGTACTAGAAGTGATAAGAAATAACTATGACACTTTAACTTTGAAGTTGCAGGATGGTCTAGACCAACACGACAAGTATAGCGAGAAACCAAAGGAATCTCCATACTTTTCACAACTGGTAAGTAAGAAGAGCTAGAAGAACACACAAAACGAACACATTGTTTTATTCTTTTTTCTTTTTCTGCATCTTTTTGTAATCTTCTTTCTTTCCTTCTTCAGGTAAGGAATATAACTAGTGAGGCTAGGAAGACTTTAGTAGTAACCAGTTTACAGCAAATGACAATACTGTCTGAACTCTCTGGTAATGTATAATCTTGTGCTACATATTATCAATTTCTACCTTTATTTGTTAATACTTATTAAACATTTTAAATTTGATACAGGACAACAATGAAGAGAAAGAGGGAGAGAGAGAGAGTGAGACGACATAGAGATGTACAAATTTTGACACAATTGTGTTAAGAATGCATTTCACATGTGTGTGTGTGTGTGTGTGTGTGTGTGTGTGTTCATAAAAATTGTGCATGTGCATTCATGTGTGTGTGTTAGACTAGTGATTCACTGTTAACAACTGGAGGACTGTTCCCTCCACTGTTTAGCCTCTGTAATACCTCAAAAGCACTTGGTCTGTCTAAAGGGGCTGGACATGTGCACGCCCTTATAAGGGTAACCATGGCCGGCCAGGCGAGCCTTTGAAGGCGTGGTCGGAGGTCACCGTTGGTAATGGAGGCAATCCCTTCTGAGGGTTGGGACATCTCTAGAAGAACGACCCCAAAGCCATAGATGTCAGTTTTAGGCGTGTATAGTTCAGGGGCTTTCGCTTCTGGTGCAGCGAATATTGAGAAATTACTTGAAGCAAAAGGATGAGGGGAAGAGCAAGAAGAGAGTTTAAGATAACTCGTGAAATTGCTTGAGGCACATTCCGAGAGTTTAGCTTTCCATGCACTGTTGCCCATTGGCTCGAGTAGTACATTGACTGTGTTGACGTCACGATGAATGATACCCAACTGATGTATGTAGCTAAGAGCTCCTGATATATCTGATGCTATCGATAGAACCTGTCTCTTGGGTAGAGGCCCTTGACGTAATGTCATTCGTAACGTGGTAGGCATCAGTTCAGTGAGAATGATTGGGTTGCTAGCGTTAGTTGTTCCTCCAATGAATTGGATTATGTTAGGATGGCGTACCCTCAGGGCAGTCTTGATTGCTTTGTAGTAGATTCCTTCATTAATAGACCCTGTATCTTTGTAGCATTTAGCAGCAATGTGAAGACCCCGGAGTGAGCCGACATAAACCGATGACCATTTGTCCCTCGAGAGCTCAGCTTGTGTTATTTGTATATCGGACGGTGGTACGGCCCATAGTCCCTGTAATGACTCATCAGGGAGTATCAACCCAGTGTTGCTTGAAGTGCTGCTGTTTGATGGTTCTGGTGATGCTGATTTCTTTTTGATTGTTTCAATCTCTTTTCTTTGTAGGTCGATGGTTTTCTGAGCCTCTTGTGCCTTCTCCTCATAGGATGAGAGCTTTTCTTGCGTTTCGCTCAAGTCCTTTGTGATCTGCTCGATTTTCTTTTCCAGCTGTACATTCTTGGCTTCAGACTCCTCTCCTTGTCTCCGTGCCTTCCTAACTATATTCATGGCGTCGATGAGTTGTCCTTGTAGCATTTTGATCTCTTTCTTTGCCTCTTCTAATTGTTTCGAAGCCCCTGCCCTCCTGTCGAGTGTCATGGTGTTTGTTCGAGATTTTTTCGATTTCCTGTCCTCCCTGGGCGAGATCTGGTGTAAGTCAGTTGTCGAGTGGCGGAAACCATTTTCCATCATGTGTCGTCTCTCGTGTCCGTTGAGCTGCTGCTGCTTGTTGCTGGCAGTGATGGCAGGTACTTGATCGACCGCTCTCTCATCACACATCACTCTCCAGTCTCCATTGCTTTCGCCTATAAAGAAGACAAGGGAGTGTCAAAGTAATTGTCACTAAAAATTCTTTTGATGTCAGTCACAGCTTACATAATTCCACGACAGCCGTTTCTGTGACAACAGGCTGCTCCCTGTGTGATTTCTCTGCCACCCATTCATAGATCCCACCATAAATGACCAGCAGGAAATGGCGTGGTGCAAGGCTGAATACCATTGTGCTATGTCCTCTCCTTCCAACCACCACTTGTGGAGCGCTGACCTATATTAATGATCAGTAAGTAGTAGCTGTTATTGGTTGGTGGTATGTGAGTGATTCATGCTATGATGTGTGTGCATTAGCAAGTCACTGCATGACATTTCTTAGTAAATAGAAGTGAAGGAATGTTGGCTATACTCATAAACTGTCACTCACTACAACAAAACTACATGTACACTCTCTTCTCTTATGTGAAAAACAACCTATTAAGACACGGTAACAAGCCACTGAGCACTATTAAAGCTTCAAATAGTTTATTTTAATGTTGTTAAGTGACTCTGAAGCCTTGTAGTACCATTATTAAGTGACAATGTAAACTAGGTAAAAGTGTTTTCTTGTAATTTTGTAAATAAGTCAATCCAGACCCTCTCCTTCTGGGAAAGCTATGCCAACACATAAAAGGAGCTGTCATGATCTTCTCCTAATGCATTTCCTCTGTTTGCTTCTATTTTAACAGTTACATGCATACTCCCACACTTAACCACAGAGTACATCTAATTGCTTCATTTAGCATCATCTATGTAATCTTTATACTTACGCCACCCTATAACCTTTATCCTCCCCCTCTCTCTCTCCCTCACCTTTTTTCCATTCTCCCACTTGTCACTCTCTCACTCTACAATTATCTCTTGTTCTTCTCTATTTCTCTTACTTGTTTCCATTTCCCGCTGTCCACGTCCATAATCCAAAGGTCTGCAAGTGTATTGAATTGGTTGTTGACTCCTCCCAGTGTCAGGAATAGAGGCGAGCTCCCGTTCTTGATACAGGCTGAGTGGTCATCCCTCCCCATTGGCCAGTCAACAGTTGGATCATTGCCATTATAGAGTCTGATCCAGTGCTGTGGTAATAAATAGTGACAACAATGAAGTAATTGGTGGATGACTTAATACTTTTGTGTGTGTCAGTTAATGAGACTTAATGAGACGTGGTGGCTATGACTCTGAAGCTAATGAAATACCTTATTAAGATATTTTTAGTCCACTCTTACTTAATTTAATATATGTACAGTAAGAGATAAAGTAATAGGATGGTTATGAGGAATAGAGTTTAAATTCCAGTGCAATTTCAGTGGCAGATGTTGCTCCTTTTAAACAATTCACTTGAGATATAACACAATTATTGTTAGCAGTCTCGGTCATGCATGTACGTTTAAATTGTTAAGCGTGTGCAGGTAAATTAGTTTTGGCTTACTTTGGTCTGGAGGTTCAAGATGTAAACATCATTGACTCGCCTTCTTGTGTTTGGCTGGAACCCACCAAAGAGTATTACTCGTTCAGAGTCGACTTTGGTGAATGTGAATCCTTGGCAGGGAGGTGGTTGAGTGCCAGTAGTTGTTGGACAGTCCCACGTACCTGTGTGTGTATGAATGAGAATGACATGATTTATCTCTGTGAGAGTACACATGTTGTTGCTTGCAATGAAACACAACACAGTGCTATCCGAGCCAATGTTTATAGCTCATTATGCTGATCATGCTCATTTCCTTAAACTAGTGATGTTTGTGTTATGATTTTACCTTTCGTGAGGTTGAAGAAATGTAGCTCATTGCTCCAGACACAGCCCAGGTTGCTCCTATCTGCTACAAACTCGTGCTTTGTGCTCTTGTGGCTTGCACTGAGTAGACCCCAGCCTCCAAAGACGCAGAGAAACTCGGTGTCTTTATGAGTGAATGACACCATGCCACACTGCCACTTCTTCATGGGTGCATCACTTGGATTGGCTGCCATCACTTCTCTCCATTGAAGCGTCGTCACATCTAGCTGATGCACGGAGTTGTGGTAGCAGTTACCATGACCACAGTACCCGCCAAACGTGTACAGATACTTGTCTGTGTTTGTGTATGCATTCCAGTAAACACCAAGAGGTGGGCTTCCAGTCGTCATGCGTCTTTCCCACAGTAAACTGTGAGGGTCGAAAATCTCAACTTGCGAGAGTAAGCTGGTCTTTTCTGCACTCGAGTGAACTTTTGGCAAAGTGTCCATGCAACCACCCCAAACGTATAGCTTCCCGTTGATTGATGCTGCAGAGTGACCCCATCTTGGCACAGGCTGGTATGGATAGATTATTTCTGCTTTATCAAGCCCTATAGTTGTAATGAGTGATGTAAAGAATGTGTGTGTAAACACAGTGTAAGTGTTAAGTGGGTTCAAATTTTGAATGCATGTGTGGCTAATAGTGACAGAGCGCTATCAAAACTTAACCCATAAATCAGGTCTCCCACACACAAAGCATGAAGCTAAGCTTGCAGTATTGTACTAGCGAAATCTAATAATTGTTAGTATGGGTGTTGTTTGAGCTTGCGTAAGGAAATATTCATTATTAAAGAAACTTAAGATCTTCTTTTATGGCATTATATTACTATCACCTAATCTCATCAAGTCACGTTTATGGTATCTTAATTTTTGCCGGATGGGAATTAAGTAAAAAGATCTGAAAACAACAGAACATGATCTACTGTATCAATGTAGCTGTTTTCATGCTGCCCACTGCATATGAGTCAATAATCAGTGATGAAATTGCTCCTCAGTCATAAAGCATAAAATAATACTAATAATATTAATCAATTATTTACAATACTTACCATTTGTGCTAGTCGAGAATAGGCGACGGAGCATGGTTTCTTAAATAGAAAGGTGTTGGTAGCTTTCACTGCAATAATATTGATTGTACAGACAAAAGCAGAGCTTGCTCCAATGAATGCCAATCAGCTAGCCACCTGGCCAGATAGCAAACTGACTGAGAAATAGTTTCAAGTTCTTTTTTCTCGCTCTCTTCACTCACTCAAGGAGATGGAATGCAAATAATAGCTGTAGTGATTCTCTCCAGTTATTATAAAGGAAAACAAATCATTATTATTCATAGATCTATATCTCATTGAATATTCATAGCTCAACTCATTAAATATTCATTACGTAAAATTAATGAATAATTAATTAGTTTAAAACTTGAATATTGAATAATAGTTTTATAAATGCAGTGTTGGCAGTGATACAGCATTTAACAACAGTAATTGGGAGATAATGGTTCGTCTCTTCGCTATAAATGTATTTTACAAAGGGCTCAAGCCAATCCAAAAGAAAGCCTCGTACGAGCTATCATCATTTGGTTATTTTCAAAGATCTGGGTATGTGAATCTCTCCTCGTGGGTGTGGCTTGAAATTTATTAATGATGTAGGGTGAGAGAGTTTATGGCTTTTACCAGTGATGTATTGGTAGAGAGGACAAGCCCTGGACAACGACAGTCAGTGAGGGAGCAAGGTCAGTTGCTTTTTATAGTAATTTTAAACGATAAATTTAAAACAATAACAATAGTTTTGATATTAATATTGTTTTGTCTTAGAGTACAGATGTCATGTTTTTGTACGTTCAGACGGTTTAGCTTGTGTAGCGATTGCTGATATGGACTATCCTGTGAGAGTTGCTTTTACATTGATGAATAAAGTAAGGAAATATTGCTATTTTGAAGATGAAGATTATTATTATTATTATTATTATTAGTTATTTTTTACTTTGAATTGTTTTCTTTATTGATATTTAAACAATCGTAGTCATTATTTATTATTATTGATGGGTGTGCCCATCAGAATTTCTAACAGGATTTTAGCATAGCTTCTTTTCTGTGGGTTGTCAAGTTGCTCAAAAATTGGGCCAAAGACCCAGTACTATAATACAAGGAATTTTGACAAAAATCACACAGAAAAGTTTCTCAATTTTTATATTTTTTCCTGATACATATACATGTTCTTATGTTGTGTAGCAAGTTTGAGCTGATTCCGATCAAAATTGGATTTTTTACGAATTTTAAAAGTTACTTCAAAATTGGTTAAAAGTCCCTGTACTATAGTACAGGGATTTTGGCCAAATTTTGCCAAAAATGACTAGGACAGAATTTTCTATTTTAATAATATTTTCTGATACGTATACATGTCCTTATGTTGTGTAGCAAGTTTGAGCTGATTCCGATCAAATTTGGATTTTTTATGAATTTTTTAAAAAGTTGCTCCAAATGTCATGTACTGTATTGTAGTGCTTGTCAGCTCATGAAGCTCATGCTGTTTAGCTCACTTAGCATGCTTTGTGGGAAACACTGATGCCCATTTCTTTTATATATTGTAGGTACTAGAATTGTATTCGTCTGATTTCCCACGTTCTTCATGGGAACAACCACCTAGGTAAGATTATAAATTAAAATGTAATTTAGTGGTTTAACGATCCCAATCATTCAATGCTAAATTTGCTATTTAAAGTCGTTAGCATTAATTGCTTCTATTCTTTATAGCGATCTCTCATATCCTCCATTGGACGACTTCCTAAAAAAGTACCAAGTAAGATATCAAAATAACAATAATGGTTTTTGCACATCAGTTATTGTACTCTGTTCAGGATCCCAAAGAAGCTGATTCTATTATGAGAGTACAGCAAGACCTTGATGACACTAAAATTGTTTTAGTAAGTTCTCTCTCTCTTTTACCTCTAATTAAGAGTAGATGCTAATCATTATCAGAAATTTCTTGAATTTTTCCAGAGAGCGAGAGTGGGTGTGTGTGTGTGTGTGACATATTGTATTCACGAAATTTAATTAAAGATTGGGTGTAGCATCTTGAGTGGGAGGTATATGTTACTTAGTGATTATAGGAGGAATTAGGGTGTGGGTGTGGGTGTGTGAGAGAGAGTAGTCATAACAACTGTTTATTTTTGCAGCATGAGACATTAGAAGCTTTGTTGGAGAGAGGGGAGAAATTAGATGATCTTGTTTCCAAGACTGACAAACTTAGCAGCACATCAAAAGCATTTTATAAAGAGGTAATGGGTCTTTTGTCTTTCCTGAAGCTATTGACCATTAAATCTTCATATATTTTCTGTTTTCTTTTTTTCTTAGGCTAAAGGAGGCACTTGCTGTGTTCTGCAGTAATTATTTTGTTCATTACAATTATAATTATTATGTACTTTTACTATTTATTTTCTATCCCACACACACAAAGTGATAATCCTCAAAGAAAGAGACAAATCAAAAAATTAATGTGCTTTTATGTGAAATTTTGAAATTACATCACAAAATAAATTGATTAAAAAACTCAATTTCTTCTAAACATTAGTGAGATATGGTTCCTTCCAAACTGTCCAATGACAATGACCAGTATTAGTATAGGACAGGCAGCCAGTGCGGTCCAGAGGAACACGTTTGAAACTTGATTCAAAAACCAGTTTGAGTAAAGACTCAAGAATAGCGTTATCATCGCTCCAGCAAATGTAACAGTCCCGGAGAAAGCATGAAGACGTTTGAGTATAACTTTACGGACTTTAAAAGGAAGAGCAGTAGGGTAGAGTTCAATGATACCACCACAGGCTTGAACTGCTAGAGAACAACAGACTAGTATCCCCATGAAACCGTGCCAGCTGGTATAGTGTGGATAACCATTGATGAATTTATTATAAGATATTACCCCAAGGCCAATGTAAGCACAGACCAGACCACAAACTTGAAGTACCCAGTGATAGAACACCTTCCCATTGTGTGAAGAACCACCCAAACCGACTGAAAACCAAGGCGAGAATATAACTATAGCTTCCATCATTAGAACCATAAACTGATGGAACAAAAATAATCGAATAAATTCTAATATTTATTGTATAACTTACGCCTAATGTCATCATTGTAGGATGCCATGAAAAAATACCTATAAAAATAAATTATAAGTAGTGTTACAGTGTGTGTACATATATGTGAACTTTAATTGATGATTTTTGCAAAAAATAATAATAGTTCAATAATTATGCTTACTGCTGCTAGGCTTTGCAAGCCATATGATAAAATTAGCAAATCCAATTGCCAATAACTGGACTACAATTGCTGAGGCCACACCTACAGGTGTTGGCTTGCTTTTCTTCTCAACTTCTTCCATGTGCTTGTCAATTTTCGATTCCCAAAATTGCTTGAGCTGAATCACTCCTGCATTGAACTCCTTGCGACTTTTAGCCATAAAGAACAGACAATAGCAACGAGAATCGAGAAAATACAAGAAAGTACGGATAACTGTCAAGAGTATCCGGAGTTCACCTGGGCGGGGCTCAAAATAAAATTTCCAAGATGCCAGTGTCTTCGCTGATAAAGGTTAGTATTTTCCTTCTTTTCGTTAAACTTCTCTTGTTTAGTTTTCAAGATACAGTGCTCTGACAGTAGGATTAGCTTATGGATATACTAGAAACAGTGAGTAATTGCAACTGGATTGTTTTCATTCTCTCTCCCTGCAGAAAGACTAGTGAAAAAAGAAGCAGCTCTCAAGGCACAAGAAGCTGCCAAGAAAGGGGCTGGGAAGAAATAATAGCAACTGAGAAAGGACCTTTATTAACTATTATTAGAGCTAGATCAACTGGAATGCATTATTTAATAAAAGAAATTAAGTGTAAAGAGTATGTCGCCATGTTTTTTTTTACATATTGAGCCCCGCCCATCTACTAAAATTTAACCCTTTGCTTTTAAAGTTAAGGCGGGAAAATGGCGGATTGTTTGTCCTTTTCCACAAGCTCTGGAGGACAGGTTGGGCTGTGGAGTGAGAGCTCTGGTCGATCACAATCCTACGAACAAACAGAACTAGTAACAGTGTTTACTGAGGATGAGACACAATGCCGCTCTCTCTCCTGGAACAGTACCAGTATCTTTTAACTACAACATTTAAAAATTATTGTTATAATAATAATAATGATTATTCAAGTTTCCTTAGCTTATTTTATACAGATACTCTATTAGCCGTATGCCCCACTAGAGGCGATCACGTTGCTCTCCTCAACTGCAAGGAAAAGAACCTATCACTTGCAAAGCAAATCGAACCAAAAGTAATGAGAACCTTTAAAATTATTAGCATCGCCAGTTTTTGTAGTCTTTGCTTGAAACAGGAAGTGTTAATGGTACGGGCGGAGTCAGTAGCACTTGTTTTCTTGGCAATGGGCACCAGCTGCTGATTGGTTTGACGTCTCCTGTTGTGTCATTATGGGATACTGAGACTCAATCTGTCGTTAGGAATTACGTAGTAAGAAAAGAGAACGATATTTTACATGAACATGTACATTATGCGTCTACAATTCTACATGTACCTAAGAAACTTTAAAGCACTAAATTAAAGTGACACATGAATTAATAGCTATAGAAACAAATTTTAATGCATGGAAATTCTATTAGCGTCTCTTCTTTATCTGCCTAGGGTCATTCGTCTTCTGTTACGTGCGTAACAAGGAATATTAAAGACTCTTATATCATCTCTGGCCTAGAAGATGGGAACCTCACTATACACAAGACATCATCGTCTCAACCAGTGACACAACTCACAGAGAAAGGAGGAGGAGGTGATAAAGGAGAAGTATGTATAAATTTATAGGTTGACTTGCAAAATTTTGATAGATTGGCTACAAAAATTTATTCCAAATTCTTATAGAGTGCAGTGCATGTTCGATTCTCACCTTCTGAACAAGCAATGATCGGTTCTTGTCATGCAGGGGGAGCTGTTAGATTATGGAGTGTAGAGTCACAGCGACTGCTAACAACATTCTCATACACTCACTCGGGTATGTATTGCTAAAGATAACAGTGCTTATATAGCCATGAAAATATAGCATTTTATGTACCGGGTACCCTAATTTCACAGGGAATCCTCAGTTAGTTTAGATAAAGTACATATACAATGTTGCTTGATCATTCGTTGAATTTTTGAGCAACTTTGAAAATTTGTAACAAATCCAAACTTGATCAGACTTTGCTCGAATTTGAAATGTAACATAAGAACATGTATGTGTATCTGAAAAATTATAAAAATGGAGAATTGGCTCCTAACCATTTTCAACGAAATACCCAGTACTATAATAATACTGTGCATGTATGTGATCTTTAGCTAGCTTTAAGTTGTTTCTCTTCCTATCAGGTGGAGCCAATGATATTGCTTTCTCTCCTTACAATCGTATGCTGATGGCCAGTGTTGGCCAGGACAGTGTCATTTGCTTATATGACCTAATTCAGAGAAAGTATGTTATCCCTTCAATTCATTATACTCAACATAATACAGAACACATATCTTAGGACATATCTATATACATGTGTATTATGCTATTATCCATGCTTTTATCTTCTTTGTGTATTTATTTGGACAGGCTGTTTGTTTTTGTTTGTGTCTTGACGATTTATATTGTTTTTCATAGGATCATAACACAAGTCTCCTGTCCTATTCCTATTACTTCATTGCTCTTACTTAAAGATGGCATAACAATGATAGGAGGTGGTCTAGATGGTATGCAGTATTACTCTATTCCATGTGAATTAACTTTCTTTTACTACTCCTCACTCTGTGTATAGGTAACATTTATGTGTATAATATGAGGAATTGTAAAGAGCCCAGTAATGTAATATCAGCACATGACAAGCCAATAACAGCACTGGCAGCACAAAATACAGTTAAGGTACTTATATGCAAACTTGTACTATGGTATTTTAACTAATAATATTTCACCATTTATTCTGAGTACATCTAGTATTATCCAACTTATCCTATAGACTAGATCTGCCCGTAAATTACCAAGTAGAAGTCAGAAAAAGAAAGTTGCCATTGACACATCAAGTACATCAGCTGTCAATAATAATCATTAGTTATTTTTCTGATAGCTACTGTCTTTTCTCCAGCTGACAATACTGCCAGTCCTCTTCTTAGCTCAGTCATCACTCCAGCTCCGTCTCTGAAACAAGTATCAAGTATGGAAACATGAGAATGGAAATATGAGATTGAGTATGAGAGTATGGTATGGTGATATGTGTGGGCTGGTATTCACTTCGTATGTTATGTATCTGTAGGTGTATTTAGTCCCCTTGATAGTAATGAGGCTCCATTACCTAATGTTGATATGGTGACTCCTTCCGATGCTTCAAGGTATTAAAATGAAAGAGATAAAGATTTTTTTCAAAATATAAATTTGCTCACTTTCTTTCTTTCTTTCTTTCTCTCTCTCTCTCTCACCCTTATCTCTCTCAGTGTTTCACTATCAGACACTCCATTTCATACTAGCATCAGTACAAGTGAGTACTCCTGTCATTAGATATCATGTATCATGTATCACTTCATCTGTTCATGTTCTCAGGTAGTGTATTCTCTCCTCTTGAGGCATCAAATGTCAACTTATTCCGATCAACTGCAACCAATTCCTCGTCTACATTATTAGCAAGGACTGTGGCCCCACCTCTAACTCCGCCTCTTTTTCCCACTGTGTCTCAACCTAATGCTAGACCTCAAGTTACTAAAACCATCAGCACTTTAGCTAATCTTACGGAGCAGTCGTTTCCTACTGACTCTACTCTTATTAGTGCCCCATTGGCCTCGTCAGCACTCTTAGGCAGTACGATCCCTTCACAGCTGCACCAGCCACAGGTTCAGAGTACACCATCATCTACCACTCCAGCATTACAACCTGTTAGTATTGTTATTATTCTATTATTATTATTATTATTATTATTATTATTTATTATACTTTCAGTTTACTTAAAACAACACAATAAGATCTAACTAGATCTAGTTCACTAACTTCCAATTCAACTTTAGTATTATTATTATTGTTGTTGTTGTTTTCTAGAAGCAGACTCCTGATTTGTCTGGTAAGGAAAAACCAGTCGTTTCGCCTTTGTCTCCTTCAAGACCTGCCCAGCGTGGTGACACGCCCCCTAAGGCTCAACCCGCTCCACAGATCCAGATGCAATATCTTGAGAATATATTGAAAGATCAACAAGACGAAATTATGTGAGTGCAATTTTGAGAAAAAGATCTTTTTTTGTTTTCTACTCTCTTCACTCTTTTTAACTTTTCTCTTAATAATTTGTAGCTGGAGCACACATCGTGACATTAACAATCTATCCGTGTCAATGATAAGACAGTTTGCTACACTACAGGTGTGTCAGAGAAGGAATACTTGTCTTTTTATAAATAATACTCAAACAAGCGTTGACGTATTTTTCTTTCACAGAATCAGATGATAGTAGCATTGACTGCAATAAGTGAAAAGGTAGACAAACTAACTGATGAAGTTGAAACAATGAAACAGCAGCTCAACCAATTAACTCCAAAATATTAATAAAATAATACAGGCTTAATACAAGAACAGCTCTCTTGGTATAATATTTAAAATATAGATATAATATATTGTTGTAGTAAATCGAGAGATTTATTGTGACGTTTTTATTAATACATTGCTCTATGGTTGACTCCTAAACAGTTACTGATGTGGCTCTAATGTTTCAATCATTTTTTAAGGAGGCTCGTGTTTGCAGTAGTCTAATTTAATTGCTTTAGTCAGCTATTAATGTCATTAAAGTTAATAATAATTATAATAATTGTTATTATATCATTTCTTTTGAAGATTCTACTCCCAAAACTAATGGGAGCATAACACTATTACTTGATTTTATTACATCGGCAGTTACTTCTAACAGATATGTAATGCTAATGATAGAACAGTTCGTGAGAGTTTCTTCAGTCTTTGGTACTGCAATGCTGGTACTCCATGAGCCTTTCTTGTGGCTCTCAAAAGGTGTACTGCTTTGTGAAGATCCTATAACTGTTGTATCAGTTCTACTGTCAGTGGCTGAAACGTATTTTATATTCTTTAAGAGTTTAATGCTAATTTCGTTTATTCTTTTTCCACTTCTATTCCTGACAGCTATGTCAATCGGTATGGCGTCCCTCTCTATGCAGAAGCCTGTCCTTTGTACAGTAGCTGTGATATGTACTGGACCAGAAGCACAGCAGCAACGGCCAATCGTTTCACTGATCTCCACTTCCTTTGGTCTGAGTAGATCAAGACGATTGATGTTCACAGTACTCTCTACTTTAATTTCTCGTGTGTCTACGTGAGGTTCGAGCAGAAGTGATTTTTGGACAACCCTAGCTTCAAGTCTGTACACAATCTTACCAATGCCATCACTGTAACTAGCTGGTAGGTCATCAGTTCCTTCCAACTTGAAACTAAAAGGGAATTGATTGAGACCAGCAGGTAGCAACCCATCATTGACATTCAAATCCCTCTCCCATAGATTAATTGATGCATATATGTAACTGATATGAGACGAGTGCACTTCTGTGCTTCCTGTCCTTCTCCTCTTCACATTTTCTTTTCCACTCCATTCCACTTCAGCATGTCCTGTTAGAGTGACTTTGATGGCGTGGTAGTCCTTTTTCTTGGAAGTCTCAGCCTCTACAAGACCGGTGATGGTGTCACCTGGTTCGTAGACTCTCTCAGGTAGCACAATCTTGAAGCTTTTCATTATTGTCAGTCAGTGGTGCTGACTCATCAGCTGAGAGAATTCTAATATTATGTGATATGTGTGTGTGGTTGATAATTGGACAAGAGTGATGTAATGCATTACTACTGAGAGGAAGTCAAGGAAATCATGCATTTATATAGCATCATCAGCTATTGCTCCAGCCTGTGCAAGAATAACTATTTTCAATAGTCTCATACTTTTCAATAATCACATGCCATTGTTAAAGGACTATTGGTTTAGTACACACCTTTAGATTTACAACTACGTGTATATAAATCATCAAAAAACAAGTGAAAACAGTTGCATTTAGTAGCAACTGTTTTACTAATACGATATCAATACCTCAAAATTAATAACAACTAGATCCATGACTTATATCTGTTTAGTATACATCATAAGGTTTAATTGTATACCAGTCAGAGTTTAAACTTCAAAGTAAACAAAGGATTTTCAAAGGAGTCATAGGCACTTGGGGATTACCTACATGTAATTGACTAGATTTACATTCCTGACATATCCTGCATTGTTGCCTAGAATAGAACATGTTTCTATTCTAGGCAACAGTGTTGCCTGAAGATCATCAAAGTAACCACAGATTGCTTGCAATAGCACTGCCTGGTGTATAGGGGCCTTAACAATCAATTCCTTAGATGGACATCGGCATTTTGTCATTGTCTAATGCCAATTGGAAACTGTTGCTCATTCTCTTTTAATTTTACAATCACATTTATAAATCACTAATGCACAATAATGGGTAAATATACTAAAACAGTTTTGACTACAGCAGCAGCACAAGAAAATGAAATAAAAAAGTAAAGTCTCTTTGCAAGTTTTTCTTAAAAACTTTTTTGACGGATAAGGCTGAAGGGGTACTCCCTGAGGAGGATCAGAGAATCTAACAGGTGCAAAATTATCAAAATTCTACTGTTGCCCACCAAAACCAAGCTCAGCAGCTAGGAGGACCAAACCCAGATCCATCAGCTGGAGAGCCAAATCCTCCACCAGCTGGGGGAGCAGTAGGAGCAAAAGTAGGTGGAGGAGGTTGAGGGTAGGCTGGTGGTGGTCCAGCAGCAGGAGGAGGAGCAGTAGTTCCTTGAGGCTGTGGAGGGAAACCACTTGGAGCTCTTTTCAGTGGTACATTACCAATAGTAATGGGTATGCCAATGACTGGGTCAGTGGTACCTGAGATTGAGGCAGTAATGGTCAGATGATAAGTGACTCGAAGTATGTTGCAGTTGATAAGTGTGGGTGGAATATTAGGGACAGCAATAGGAGGTGGACGCCATACTATGGAGCTATGAGCAGCCACTGGCTCACTAGCAACACTGGCTACTGTTACAATATCACAGTAATGGTGGCGTTTTGCTATGTAAAGAACTTGCTTGTGGAATGAAGCAACAATTTGGCGTACATCTCTGCGGCTCCCATTTTCAACAGATACTTCAACTCGTATGGCGTCTTTAAGTATGCAAAAGCCAGTACGTGGCACAGTAGCTGTGATATTAATAGGACCAGAAGCACAGCATAGACAGCAAAGGGTTTTACTGATCTCCATTGCTTTTGGAGTTCGAAGTTGAGGAGTATTTATAGGAATGACGCTACCAACATTGATTTTTGTTTTGCAGCGAGTGTCACGCTTAAAGATACCATCTTTCATAACCCTGGCCTCTATCTTGTAGTATATACGACCAAATTTACCGATGTAAGAGGCTGGCAAGTGACTTCCCAGTTGAAGGGAGAATGGAAATTGGAAATTACCAACAGGAAACTGACCCCCTCCTGCTGTTTTCCTGTCCCAAACATTAACAAACGTGTCAATGTAAACCTCATAGGCTCTATAGTGGACAGTGTGACGGTCATCCCCTGTCCCCCTCTCTTCTGACCAATGGACGTCGGCTGCTCCAACTATTCTGACTTGAATTGCTTTGTAGTCTTTGGGCTGGTCGTCATTGACAGCTATGACAGTACCGGTTACAGCGCCTCCGGTAAAATAGATGCCATTTGGAGGATTTTTCAACTCCATACGAAAATCCTTCATGATTCAGCTACTCACAGCTTACTAACACTGTCTGGCAGCTAGAGTGTAAACTGTGAGAAAAAAACAAGCTAGCAAAGTAATTTGATCTACCTCCACGCCACCTAGATTATACCAAGTACCTAGCTAACAACTGAAGAATTATTCATTAAACAAGCGTAACAGTGTAAAAATATATAATTGATTTCACCACCTTGCAAGTACAGTTGGATTCTTATTAAGACTTATAGAGGTTCTCTCTACCTTCTACTGCTTCTAGAAAAGTCTTTGGACAGCATCTCTATGTTCTCTTGCAGTTAGAAAGCTCTTGACTTTGTCCTATGTGTAACCTCGTGGCCACACCCACTAGGTAAAGGAGCGTGGGCGGGTGGTTGCTAAATCTTGTTATTTCTCCAATACAACATGTATGTACACAATTATTTAGATTTGTAGAAATCATCAAAAAACACAACTGAAAACAGTTGCATTTAGTAACTTAAACAACTAGATCTATGATTTAGTTACACATCATAAGGTTTAATTGTATACCAGTCAGAGTTTAAACTTCAAAATAAACGTAGAATTTTATAGGTACTTGGAGATTACCTGTACTCAAGTAGATCAACATTCCTTTCATGTCTTGCTTTGTCATTGTTTTTACAAACCAATAATCAATTTATTAGTTAAACAATAGCAGCTTGTCATTGTCCAATGCTGATTGAAAACTGATGCTCATTCTATTTCAATTTCACAAATCCATTTATAAATCACTAGTGCACAATAATGGGTAAATTTACTAAAACAGATTTTGACTACAGCAGCAGCACAAGAAAATAAAATAAAATGCAAAGTCTCTTTGCAAGTTTTCTTTAATTTTTTTTGGTGGATAAGGCTGAATGAAGGGGTATTCCCTGAGGAGGATCGGAGAATCCGACAGGTGCAAAATTATTAAAATTCGACTGTTGCCCACCAAAACCAAACTCAGCAGGAGGACCAAACCCAGATCCACCAGCTGGGGGACCAAATCCTCCACCAACTGGGGGAGCAGTAGGAGCAAAAGTAGGTGGAGGAGGTTGAGGGTATGCTGGTGGTGGTCCAGCAGCAGGAGGAGGAGCAGTAGTTCCTTGAGGCTGTGGAGGGAAACCACCTGGAGCTCCTTCTAGTGGTACATTACCAATAGTAATGGGTATGCTAATGACTGGGTCAATGGCACCTGAGATTGAGCCAGTAATGGTCAGATAGTAAGTGACTTGAAGTATGTTGCAGTTGAGGAGTGTGGGTGGGGTATTAGGGACAGCAATAGGAGGTGGACGCCATACTGTGGAGCTATGAGCAGCCACTGGCTCACTACCAACACTGACTACTGTTACATTATCATAGCGATGGTGGCCTTCTGCTGTGTAATGAACTTGCTTGTGGATTGAAGCAACAATTTGGCGTACATCCCTACGGCTCCCATTTTCAACAGATACTTCAATTGGTATGGCATCTTTAAGTATGCAAAAGCCAGTACGTGGCACAGTAGCTGTGATATTAATAGGACCAGAAGCACAGCATAGACAGCAAAGGGTTTTACTGATCTCCATTGCTTTTGGAGTTTGAAGTTGAGGATTATTGATAGGGACGATGCTACCAACATTGATGTATGCTTCGCAACGAGTGTCACGCTTGAAGATACCATCTTTCATAACCCTGGCCTCTATCCTGTAGTCTATACGACCATATGTGCCGTTGTACGAGGCTGGTAAGTTACCACTTCCCAGTTGAAGGGAGAATGGAAATTGGAAATTACCAACAGGGAACTGACCCCTCCTGCTGTGTTCCTGTCCCAAACATTAACAAATGTGTCGATGTAAACCTCATAGGCTCTATAGTGGACAGTGCGACGGTCATCCCCTGTCCCCCTCTCTTCTGACCAATGGACGTCTGCTGCTCCAACTATTCTGACCTGAATTGCTTTGTAGTCTTTGGGCTGGTCGTCATTGACAGCTATAAAGTGAAAACAGTTGCATTTAGTAACTTAAATAAACTACATTATTGGTACTTCAAAATTAACAACTAGATCTATGACTCATATCTGTTTAGTACACATCATAAGGTTTAATTGTATACCGGTCAGAGTTTAAACTTCAAAGTAAACAAAGGATTTTTATAGGCTCTTGGGGATTACCTGTACTCAAGCAGAACAACATTCCTTTCATATCTTGCTTTGTCATTGTTTTTACAAACCAACAATCAATTTATTAGTTAAACAATAGCGCTAGCTTGTCATTGTCCAATGCTGATTGGAAACTGATGCTCATTCTATTTCAATTTCCCAAATCCATTTATAAATAACTATAATAATAATGGGTAAATTTACTAAAACAGATTTTAACTATAGCAACAACACAAGAAAATAAAAAAAAAGCAAAGTCTCTTTGCAAGTTTTTCTTTAAAATTTTTTTGGCGGATAAGGCTGAAGGGGTATTCCCTGAGGAGGATC